TTTTTTTAATGAAAGTTCTGGTCAGATCTTTGCCAATTTTTCTATTGGATCATTGTTCTTTTGCTTACTGATTTCTAGGAGCCATTCATTTTAAAAATTAAGACTTCTATGAAAGGAAATGCAAATATTTTTCTGCAAGGGGTACCATTTATCTTTTGGTTTTGCTTATGATATTTTGTTGCAATGCAGAATCTAAAAATAAAATGTATATAGGGAATCTGTTCTTTGATAGTTAAAACTCTCCCTACTCTGATATTAGGAACAAATCATGAGTTTTCTTCCATTACTTTCACAGTTGTCATTTTTCACTTAAATCTTAAATGTAGCAGCAACCTAATTTGATTTAATATAAATATTAGATTACAAATGTTAAGTCTTTATATTGTATAATTTACTCATGTACAGTTTATGTATGTTTCAAAATTACTTACAGCAAATTCTTAGTTCACAGGAAGGACAACCTTCTAAAAACCAGATACAAATTTCACATCTCTCCCTGGTTGATATGCATTAAACCTCCAGTGTTTTCTAATAATTTAAAATGAAGGGCATTTCAATCACAAAACAGGTTTTAGGAGAAAAAAGTCTGTAAAACCAGAATTATATACTGAGAGAAAAAGAGTATGGGAACCCGCTGGCTCAGTCGGTAGAAGATGCGACTTTTGGGTCTCTGGGTTGTGAGTTCAAGCCCCACAGTGGGTAAATCGATCACTTAAATAAATAAATAAGTGTATTTGAAGCGAGAGAAAGAACAAAGATTTGATCAGCACTTTTATATACATGAAACACATAGCTGTTTTTCAGAACTACAGCCTCGCAGAATTACAATATCAAAGTACAGTATATCTTGTGCCCTTCACTGTGACAAGCACTTTATGTACTTCTTTTCTGTGAAATCTCACAGTAGTCCAGTGAGATCAGTATTTTTTCCTCTGTTTTATAAAAGAGGCAACTAAAATCAGATGTTTTCATTTATTTCAAGTTGCATACTAAATATAAAGTCAGACCTTAGTCATTTTTCTGACACCTAAGACCAAACAAACTCTTGGCCAATATATAATACCGCCATCATTTCATTTAGTGCATAGATCACGTCAATTTAGGAATGTGGACTCTTTCAATTAAAAAGACAATAATGAA